TAGGTTCTAGTAAGTTTATAAAGTTCGTCATTTATAGTAGAAACTAGTGCTTTCGCATGTAGGAAAGGATTGTAATTTTCTAACGCAAGTCATGTATATTTTGTATAAATAACTGAACATTTTATTTAGAGTCAGGGCGTGAAACCTCTTAATAAAGTGATTAAAGTAACCGAGTGACTTACGCATAACTTTGTTAACTGACAGGGTCTTGTAGTTCGAACATATTCGAATATGCAAATGAGTTCTATGCAAAGCTGCTTTGTGCAGTGATGATAAGTAACGCGCATCGAACTGTGCGGAGTTCGGGGACCACTATGTTTCGAGCAACCCGAAGTCTACTATCAAGTTATGTCGGTTTAGCTCACGCTATAATTGTTCGACTTAAAAGGGAAATATTTAAGTGTTCCATTCTGATTCATGTGCAAATTTATTTCTTATTGAAATTTAATAGTGAGCAAAAATGTTGCCACTTCACCCCAACATTTGTTTCCATCGATATAGCGCCACCAAGCGTTTATAATAATACATTCTCGCCCGCAAAGAGTTGTGGGTAAAATAAGCAAAAATGGCGACTTCCATGCTGTTTTGATGCACGTGAACAACAGTAGACCATGGCCAACAGAGCAGCTCAGGTGGGTGTGTGTTTGTGGAGTAATTGTGTTTTTGGTGATGTAGTATCAGGGAGATCAAGTTTATTTTCAGCTGATCTCTAGAGGGACTGTGATACTATGTACCCCATAAGGGATGCACCAATAGAAACTCGGGGGGGGGGTAAACAACTATAAGCATCTTTAACGCGGGGGAGGGGGTCATACCCTGTATACAATGCTACAGGGCATCATGCAGATATTTATAGTGACACTGTTAAACTGCGCATGTGCGTAAAGAGGACTCAAACAAAAACAAATGTACAACAAATACATTTCATTTCAAATTCAGGCTACCCATGGATTAGCCCTGAGTACAGTCCTGTAGGTTGGTCGCTTACCGCTGATCATTCGGCCCCACAGTTCTGAGAAGTCATATAGACCAGGGATTCAACACTTGGCTACAAATTTATGGCGGAGAGCCTTTTCATGCTGTTTCCATGATTGCAATCGGCCAAAACGTAGAACGATTAATCTAGTGATCATAGACAAGTATCTTGTGGCCAAAAAATAAACCTATAGCACCGGAACTAGTTTTTTGCAACGAAACAACGTTTTGTCTATAAATACGTTAAGAACAAGATGACAGCCGATATAGCCCTTCACATAATGTTGAATCCCCAGTCTTTATGAATCCTTGGACTGTGAATGATCAATGAAAGGAGGCCAACCTACAGAACCGTACTCGGTTCTACTTATGGCTATGGTTACCTATGTGCTTTACAGTTAATCATAATCTGATATGATCATAGAATGTTGAAGCATGTGAACTGTAAAAGTGGAGATATTAGTTCATGATTCGTGTGTCGCCACTGATGAAATGACCTGAAACACTATTCAAAGTTAAACAATTTTCATTCCGTTGCCAGAAAATAATTGCCATATATATCACAGAACAACTTTTCTGAAGACGCACTCACATAATTTGTGAAACAAACAAACATGATGGTGCCAATTTCAAACTCTTAGGGTATATATATATATATCTTCCATACATGTATATATTATATACATGTTATCTATAGAGCACGCTTTGCGAGTGGCTGTCAGTCATGCTCGTTATAAATTGTTAAAGAGCATTTAGAACTAGATACCTTCCGACCAGTCACAGCAACGATAAATTTGTCGTCGCTAGTGCCGGTGACTGAGCGTTGCAACAATTAGTTTTTGAATAGAGGGCAGTACAAAAAAGCAATAATGAATCACAGCCTCTTGTTCGCATTTGAAACTAGATTTATAAATATTCATAAAAATTTACGCCATCCATTGGATTATACAAAATTATTGTAATATCGGTAGTCAGTTTTTAAACTGAGTGTGAATGATATCGTAAAGACCAACTCGATACCAGTAGAAGTGTACACATGCACTGCGCTGAGATTTGAATCAATTTTTAGTTTTCAGAATATACAGCAAAGAAAAATAATGTTGAATTGCAGCATGTACAAATCAGAATATATGCATCAAATTTGCATTGTTACACCATCAGTGATTGGTGGAAAGTCAGCTGATTGGACCCTAACCTGGGTTGCAAGACCATATTTGGCCTTATCACCCCTGCTTCTCTGTGCTAGGTCTCCTCATAGAAACCCCCCTGGGTTTAGTAATGAAATAACCAGAAACTTATTAGAATATTCAGGAATTGTAGGGCTCTGAATGAAATCTAATTAACATAAATGGTTATTAATGTATTGCCAGATGCCATAGTAATTTAGCATGAGTACTTTTAGTTTATTTCTGTTTTTTAAATAAAATTATAACACATCAAATCCACTGTCACATACACTGAAAAACCAGTAACCCTCTCCCCCGGTATATA